AAATTTACATAAGTTATGTTAAATTCTACAAAACAGCAAGAGATGATTAAATAAATAAAGCATATATTTTGGATGTTGTGCATTTAATGTATATTTCTGTCCTCGCTAATTTAAACAGAGCTATAACACATGTGAATAATCTCTAATTAGCACATTTAGACAAACAACATTTGTAAAATGTAATTATTCTTCTACAACAATAGAAATCCTTTAGATTAGCATCACATCAGGTAGAACAGAGAATCGCTGCTGCTTCTGTAACAGAGCATGTGTCAAAGTATCATCCAAATATTTCCTGTTTTATTCATCCACCTACATAAGATTTAAACAGAAAAGACAATTGGATCTTCTCTTACTCAGCCATGGATCTGGTATCATAAAGCCGATGGAGCAGATCCTGTCAGAACAGCGCAGATCTACATGGTGTCAGTTGTCACGCTCTTGGTGTTAACTATCGTTTTGAAGGAGATGTTGCTCGGTGTCAGTGAATACTGACACTTTGGTGGGTTTGATTTTGTCCAGGCAGCTGCCTGCTCTAAAAATAACCCCCATTTGCCCAATAGAATGAATATGGGATTTTCATGCATCTGCTGCCTCTCATAACAATTAATCAAGGAGATCATGCCAGAGCTTTAAATGAATTCTCTCTTCCTTGGAGAGTCAGAATGCTTTAACTAATTGTTAGGAAATGTGTGACTGAAAATGGCACGGTCTCAGGGGTGAGAGCATTGTACATAGAATTCAGCCTGTTACTAATTTGCTGTCTTGCTGGATTTGAGAGAATTACCACCACGTGAAATGAAAAGACCATTAAGAAATAAAACATGCCTTCATGAAGCAAACAAAGCCCTGCGCTACAAATAGGTTTCGTTTTGTCAATATAATACTTAACAGTACAGATTGTCTTGCAATAGAACATTTCCCATCTGGCTGTGCAAATATGTCCTAAATCATGATCAGGGCTGCATTACTGAGAGGGCATCCTTCAGTACAGAGGCCCATTAACATCCATTCTTATTAACATCCATTTTCATCTTTGAACGAATGCTACAAAGGGCCACAGGATGAATGCTTGGAGACTGTAAGAAAATGTTTTCTACTGGCAGGTCTGTTATTTTCTTTCAGATTTTCAGCATCCTTGAGAGCTTACAGAGCATGTGGTTTGGAGAAAATGTGAATGGGTTTATTTTTAAATATAAAAACCATATTTGGTTCAAATGATAAAAGAGATAACCTGAAACATTTTCATATAAAATTCAGTTGCACCAAACAACAACACCAGTAATATATTTGAATAATTCTGATTTTCAGAAGCACTTGCTTATTTAATCACAGTTCATGCTTTGAAATCTATAGTCACAGAAAATGTACCACCCCAGTGACAGCTCGCCTACCTTTATTTCTGAGAGTGTAGTTAAAACAACTATTAATATTTTACTCATTCATGCTTTGAAATCTATAACAAGTGTAGTCACAGTTTACAGTAAGGCCTCCTTTCCACTGCACACGACAAACGACAAGCGACAGGCCGGAAGTCATTCATTTCCAATGGAGAGTAGTCCGGGAGCTGCGGGCAATTCCGATCATCTCCGTATGCGGAAAATTCGGATCCGATTTGAGCTGCGGATCCATTGAAATATTTAAACTCTGGTGACTAGACCGAATGCGACCGGCCGACCAGATGTGATGTATTCCAGTGTTGTACAAGAAGGTCCGTGTGCAAAAAATGACAAATACTAGTTTTTTTTTTTGTTTTTTTTTAAAGCCTATAAAATTTATTTTTTAAAAAGTCTATATTAACAAAAAACATTTCTGTTCATAAATGTAAGCAATAAAAATATGTTTTATGTTGTCTCCACATCCCCCCCATGTTAACAGTCTATGAGTTTATAGTTTTCACTCATTCATTCAACCATGGTAAACAGACAGCGAATAAAGGTTCTTGCTTTTGTACTCCTTTACTTCAGACACTGCGGAAACAGCTTCTCTCCCATGGTACACATCAGAACTGAAAATTCTGTGCGACTGCCACAAGGGGGCGTATTCCGATAGTCGTGCCCAAATGTCGTGTGCAGTGGAAAGGCGGCGTAAGGCCATGTGTGTTTGCTGTTGCATTAACTTGAATTTACAAAGATTATCACCTTCCAGAATTTATTACTATAAGTGTATTCTTCTTTCTATCAGTTCAAGGCAGCATGGACATTCTACTCTGATCACTGAAGACCACCTATTTTACTACTTTTAAAAGACATAAGATAAGCTATTGGTGTCTCCAGAATGTGTTTGTAAAGTTTCAAATCAAAAAACCCATCAGATAAGCTATTTACTATAGCCTCCAGCATCGGCCCATTTTGGTGTCTGAGTACAGTGTTGCCTGTGGCTTTAAATCCAAATGAATTGCTTTTCCCTGCCCACACGTATGTGTCTGCTTCTCCTGCATTAAATCAGATAAACATCAGTCAGTGATAGAGATAGACACGGATAAAGCTGAAATACCAAGTCAAGAATACCAAATAAGTTTATTTCATGTATTTGTGGTGGAGTTTATTTAAGCCTTTCTGAAACGAGTCGCACACAAATGCCTTTTACAGTACACACAAACTGTATATACGCGTTGACACCATGCAGCAGTGGTGATTATAGTAGTTAAGAATTACATAGTGATTTTACTCTTTATTACAAACATGCTCAAGACAGCTTAAACTTATAAAAATTACAGAGAGTTGGAACAAATATTTTAATCCCAGTTTATTTGCAAAAAAAGTGATTGTGTGTATATATGCTATTATAGAAATATGGCGCCTGTCAATCAATTCAGTGAGCTGGGATACCCACAGTCCTAAGTCATGTTGGGCCTCAAAATCAGTGGGATTTGGGTCCTATTTTAAAGTCAGGAAATTACATCTACATACACAGAGTTCTGTCCAAACAGCTTCTTAAAGCTGATTTTCATCATAGGTGCCCTTTAAAAACTGCACTTTTACTCCTGTTAGGATGGCTTCTAATAGCAATAAGTAGTGACCTTAACATTTGTTAAATGTGCTGTTTACAGCAGATTGTGGGCTTGACTAGATATTTGTAATAAAAGGATAATTCACCCAAAAATGGAAGTTATGTCATAATTTACTCAGTTTTTTTTTTTTTGTCCCAAAGCTCTTTGACTTTCTCTCTTCTGTTAGATATGTTGAAGACTTTTAGGGTGCTTTCACGCCTGTGAATCGATTCAGTTGTTTAGAAACAGAAATTAAAATTAATACATTGTTGCTCTTTGCTCTTGGTGTGGTTCGCTTTCACACTGTAAAGTTTCTAAACGGACCAAAAGAGCTAAAACAAGTCACGTGTGAGTAAACTCTCCTCACATTTGTCAGTGTAGCAGCCCTTCAGCTTTCAAAGAATAGGCAGAGAGTTTTTGACGGGTGCATTTAAAAAGGTTTACTTGGATGCAATAAAGTTCATCACATAAATCATCGTCTCAGTTCTTTGTTGTATACACAGAAGCATCAAAAGACCAAAGGCACCAAAAGCACCAAAGCACCAAAAGCACCAAAGCACCGTAAAACTAGAGAAAACAAACAAACAACATAGAAAAATAAACAACAAACATTTACAAAACATCTAACATTTTCCAAATAAATCAAACAAAACATACCTCGCTCTGCTTGCCGAAGGGACACTAAAAGCTCAAGGCATTCTTCCGAGCTGTACCTGTTAGCTCGTGAACAAACGTGAATTGCTCTTACTCTGCTTTGTCTCACTTAAATCCTATTAGTCTAGAGCGCCCTCCTGTGGTGACTCCAATTAGGGCAAGCAAAGCGAGTACATTAAATCATGGGCAGTTACACTCCCACCAAATCATGGTATGAATCAAAACAAACAAAACAAATATCATACATGATTTTAACTTCAAATTTAACTCACAAAATAAATCCACATACAAAATTAACATTATTTGTCTGATGCAAGAAAGTTGCAACTAATCACTCTCAACTATAACAACCAATTTTTGGATTGGTCGCTCAATAACTGAATGTGAAGAATGGTGCCCCAACCCCGTTTTCTGTTTTTGTTCTCCTGTTTGAACTTTAACGCGTCTAACAAGGCCATCGTTACCCGGAAAAACCTCAACAACCCTACCTAACTGCCATTTGTTTCTAGGAAGCATGTCATCTTTAATGATTACAATGTCATTTACTTTAAGATTACGTCGAGGTACGTGCCACTTCTGTCTTGTGGATATATTCAGGAGATATTCCCTTTTCCAACGACTCCAAAACTGTTCAATCAAGTACTGAACCCTGCGCCACCCTTTTGTAGCATACACGTCTTCCTTTAGAAACTTCCCTGGGGGAGGAAGAGCAGTCTCGGATTTCATTAAAACAAGATGATTAGGAGTTAAAGGTTCTAGTGATTTTGGGTCGTTTATTCCATCCACAGTTAATGGTCGACTATTAACAATAGCCATCGCTTCATAAAACAATGTTCTTAGAGAAGAGTCATCCAGTCTACCAGGGCACAAAGAAAGAGTAGAATTCAGCACATTACGCACAGTCCTAATTTGGCGTTCCCAGACACCTCCTGAGTGACTAGCTGAGGCAGCATTAAAGATAAACTCACACTGATTTTCCGCAAGATATCTCTCCAGTGTTTTGACATCACATTCCTTAAGAGCCTGTTTGAATTCATTTCTAGCTCCTACAAAGTTTGTACCACAGTCGCAATAAAGTTGATGAACAGCTCCTCGCAGACTTATGAAACATCTCAAAGCATTAATGAACATGTCTGTTGATAGGTCTTCAAGCATTTCAATGTGGACTGCTCGTGATGAAAGGCAAGTGAAAAGAAGGCCGTACCTTTTGTACTCCTTTCATCCCTTTTTTATAATAAATGGACCAAAACAATCCATACCCGTGTAGCAGAACGGGGAAGCCATTTGTTGTTCCTCCACTGGTCGCCTGAGTTTCCGACATTGAACGCAATTGTAGATTAACTTAGCAACCGACTTACTGCCACCAATAATCCAAAATCCATGTGTCCTGAGTTCCATAAGCGTTTGGGACCTTCCTTGATGGCAAATTTTGCTGTGATAGTGTTTTAGAATAAGGTTGGTAATGTGGCTCTCTTTGGGCAAAATTAATGGATGTTTAACCTCTTCGCTAAGAGATGACCCTTTCAACCTTCCTCCAACACGAAGACCATTTTCCAAGATGGGATCCAGGTGGAAAAGTGAACTGGACTTCTGAAGAGCCTTACCTCCTTGGATTGTTTGGATTTCTTGGGAGAAGGCTCGTTCTTGAATAAGCTTAATCACAGCCTGTAATGCACACTTGCGTTCTTCAACGGTGACAATATCCTTAAGACATTTCTTCCTTAATGCTAGCCTTTTTATTCGAGCAACAACATTGATTAGAGTTCTCAGGGAAGAGAAGTGGCCAAATCGATCAAGGAAGTTAGCAGTATTACTACGTTTAGTCAGCCGTACCTGTACAAGTTTGACTTCAGGATCTCCTACTAGTAATTTAGTTGAAGTGTTTGGAGCTGGACACACTTCTTGGTCCCATAAAAATGTAGGTCCAGTCATCCAGTTAGTAGATCTCAAATCTGAAATGAGTAAACCTCTAGAGGCATGGTCAGCAGGATTTTGAGAGGTGTTGACATGATACCACTGGCTTGTATTTGTAATTTCCTTGATCAATTGAACACGATTAGCGACAAACACGTGAAACCTTCTTGCTTCATTGTTGAGATATGCAAGAACAACTTGTGAATCAGACCAAAAGAACTCTTGATCGATCATCATTTGCAGTTCAGCTTTTAGCAAAACACTCAGTCTAGCAGAAACCACCGCAGCAGCCAATTCCAGTCTTGGAATACTCTTGATTTTTATAGGTGCCACTCGAGCCTTGGCCATTACTAGGCAACAATGCACTTCATTTTTGTCACTCTTGACTCTTAAGTAGGAACATGCACCATAACCAAGGTTGCTTGCATCTGAAAAATGATGCAACTCTGTCAACACAATCTTACTAAAGGACGAAGGATAGTAACATCTTGGAACAGTAAAATCTTTCAAGTCCTGGAGACTATTTTTCCACTCCTCCCACCGTGGAATTAAGTCATCAGGGAGAGAATCGTCCCATTCCATATTTCTCTGACAGAGCTCCTGCAAAATGCACTTTCCCTTCAAAAGGAAAGGAGCAACAAATCCAATGGGATCGTATAAGGAAGATACAATTGACAAGATACCTCGACGTGTTGCAGGCTGATCTTTAAGTTGAGTGTTGAAACTGAATGTGTCATCCTTTGTAGACCACTGTATGCCAAGAACATACCCAGATGATTCAGGAGTCAAATTTAGTGGCTTAGAAGAAACCGCCCACTCTGACGAATCCACACAGCGCAAGACATCTTTCTCATTTGAGTTAAACTTATGGAGACGTAACCCTCCAAGCTTGCACAGGGTTTTAGCTTCTGCAATCAAATCTTTAGCTTCCTGTATAGATGGAACTGAAATTAAGCTATCATCCACATAAAAGTTATTATTCACAAATGAAGAGGCTTCAGAATACTCAGATTTGTACTTCTCTGCGAGATACTTCAGGCCAAAGTTCGCACACCCAGGAGATGAAGCTGCACCAAAAAGATGCACAGTCATTCTATATTCAATGGGCTCTTCTTTCAAATCCCCATTCTTCCACCATAGGAATCTTAAATAATCTCTCTCTTCAGGGGGGACATGAAATTGATGAAACATCTTTTCGATGTCACATGTCACAGCAACGGCTTCCTTCCTGAATCTACAAAGTACTCCCACCAGAGAATTAATCAAATCTGGACCAGTAAGAAGAGTATCGTTAAGAGATATGCCACAGAATTTTGATGAGCAATCAAATACTACTCTTAACTTGTCTGGCTTGTGAGGGTGGTAAACTCCATGATGTGGTATATACCAAGCTGTTTCTTTATCAGGTATTACTGGAGCAATCTCTGCATCTCCCTTGTTGAGCATTTCTTCCATAAAAATCTTGTAATTCTCATGGTACTGTTGATTTGACCTTAACTTCTTACCTAAATGCTGCAGACGTAATAAAGCCAGCCTCTTGTTGTTAGGGAGTGAAGGTGGATTACTGCTCTTGAAAGGAAGAGGTAACTGAAAATGTCCATCTTCTTTATGCTTGATGTTATCACTGAGATAACGAATAAAGCGGACATCTTCCTGTGACACATATTTGTCTTCATAACTTTTCTCATTAAAGTCACACTCCAAAACTTTCAAGACATCATTAGCTGTTGGAACTCTCATTTCTTTCACAGACACTCGATGAACAAAACTTTGACTTCCTTGTCTGTCTAAGTGGGGATTACAAAGACCGATAATGCTCCAGCCCAGCGCGGTTTTCTGTGCAAAAGGCTCATTTTCCTTACCGATTATGACCTCTAGGGGAGCCAACGCTGAAGGGCAGTCATATCCAATCAATAGTCCTATATCACAACTCTGAAGTGGTGGCATTTCATTGGCTATGTGCTTAAGATGAGACCAGCATAATGCAGTTTTCTTCGTTGGAATGTGAGCTTTATCCACAGGAATGAAATCACACGTATACACTTGAGGTATTTGGATACATTTCCCACCTTGAAGTCCTCGGATTCGCAGACCACTAACCTTGTTACTTGAAGTAATCGTGTCTGTAGTTGTCATAGTACTGAGTTTCAGCTTCACCGCTTGACTGCTCACTAGCAGCTCATCAATAAAATCCTTCAAAATAAAGCTTGTGTCACTTTGTGTATCGAGTAAGGCATAGGTAAGGATCTCATTTTGTGGCTCTTCTACTGTGGAGATAAACACTGGAACAATACTAGAAGTAGCAGAGACATGTTGTGTTACTGCATAAGACATTGCCCTTTGGCCCTCTTGACTTGTATATGCTTCTGATGTAATATCTGCTTGGGATACCTCTGAATGTTTGCGTTTATCTTCGTGCAGACAAGTTGGATGACGCAGTCCACATGTTCCACAAATATGCCGTCTCCTACAGTCCCTAAAAATATGCCCTCTTCTCAAGCATCCGAAACACATGTGATTTTCACGAATGAAAGATCTTTTATCATCCATGGGCTTCTCTGCAAAGATAGGACATTTGATGATACTATGCATTTCACTCTTACACACAGAACATGGTGATGTTACCTTGAATTCTGGTCTTGAATCTTTTACTTGAGCCTTAATATTGAAAGCTTTTGCTCTTTTCAGATACTTTTCATCTGGAACCTTTGAACTGGCTAGCAGTGGAGAAGTGAAAGGGTTGCAAGCTATCTTTGATTCCTTCTTCAAGAATTCAGCAAATTGCTTAAAACTTGGATAGTCTCCTGTCATATCCAACTCTTCAACAACAATTCTGTTCCATTTACGGACAATCCATTCTGGTAACTTCTTAAGCAACTTGTAATTTTCCTCGCAATCATTCAAGATGGACAAACCTTTGACTTGTGGAATAGCTTCAACACAACCTTGCAAGAAATCGCTGAACTCTCTCAAGGAAAATGGATCGTTTACTCCCACCTTGGGCCATTTCATGAGTCTCTCTCGAAAAGCACGCTGAATAATGAATGGGTTTCCATACCTCTCCTCCAAGACTCTCCAAGCACCCTGATATGTATCATCCGAGTTCTTATAAAAGAACCCTTCTACGGCCTTACGAGCTTCTCCTGCAAGATAGGTTTTTAAATAGAACATTTTCTCACTTGCTGGGATGGATTTACAATCAATGAGTGCTGTGAAGGACATTTTCCATTCAATAAACTTCAGAGGATCACCATTAAAAGTGGTTGGTTCTGGAACAGGTAAACGACTTATACTTAAGGAGTTCACTAATGCTTGAGCTAAATTCTCAGTCTCTTTAGTTTTACTTTCTTCTTGAAATGTTTGTGAAGGTAATGGATTTATCACAGGATTACGTTGAGGTTTGTTAGAAGCTTTTCTTCGTTCAGGATAAATGACATTTCCGGTCTCGTCGTCTTCCAAACTGCTCTCTTCAAGACAACTTTCTGCATTGTTATAAGCTTTCACTCGAGCTGCAGCTACGTTGACATCTTTTTCCGCTTGTAACAATTGCAATTTTGCTTTTTCTTCTTCTAACTTGGAGCGAATTTCAATTTCTTTCTGTTTAATATCCGCTAACATTCTTGCTTCTTCCAGCTTCCAGTCATTCTCCAGTTTAACTAGTCGAGCTTGCTGATTGGAAATTTCTTGAATGGCCCTTTTCTGCTCTACTTTAGCCGCAAGTTCTGCCTCTGCATCAGCTCGTTTACTTGAAGCTTCAGAGGAAGTTTCTGAGACAGCTGACAAACTTTCTACAGTCTGTGACGATACTGAGATAATGGTCTCTGTATTGGTACAACCAAATATAGACTCATACTCCTCTTTGTTCAATATCTGCCTAACTCTCTCTTTAACTACTTCCCTTTTTTGAATGACATCAACAGTTTCTATTCGTTTGCTCACCAAATCACAAATTTCTGTACTCAATATGGAACAAACATCTACTCTTCTTACAATCTCTGGAGTAGCAGTTTGATTACGCAGAAATGGGGCATAATGTTGAGTGACAACATCCTGACTAGTTTGAATGTCTTTCAAAATTTGCTCAAGCTCTTCACATGTGCATAAGGCTTTTAATTTACATCTAATTTCTTTAGCTGTCTGCTTCCAGGAAGTATAAGCTTTATTAAAGGCTTTCTCGTGCTTTTTTGTCTCTTGTTTTTGCATTTCTAAACCCTTTTCTGTGGGATTTCTTTTTCGAGAGCTTGATCTTGATCTAACCTGTTGCATTTCTGTTGTACTATTCAGATCTTTATCAAGAACTGACCTTTGACTTGCTTGTGCCGCCATTTGCTCCGCTGTGTCGTCCATTTTGTCTGTCTACAACTTAAATCAGCAACCTGCTTACATCAGACAAATTTAAACACCTAAAATATTATAGCAAAGGTAATAAGTCAAAATCACATGTGCAACAACAGTATAAACTCTTAAGACTTTAAGCACTTTAAAATTGCAAACATTTGTCTAATACATGCATCATGAATATAAGCCCAACATTACACAAACACCTTGAAGCATGAGCACTTAAATCATTAGTCACTCCTCATTCTCAAACTTCAATTACTGCATACAAATTCAACAAAGCATACAAATATAAATCCTTTTTTTTCTTTAAAAATTGCAATTATCCCAAAAGTAATAAATAGATAAATATTTTTCCTTTTCTTGTACCTCTGAGTCCACAACGTTTGTTTGCAGTCACCTTTCAGTCTTTCATGAAGAGTTTTCCCAGTTAACCGTGTAAAGTCGCCGTCCTAGTGTAGATTCAGTCTGTTGTAGATGCCATGCAGTGCCACAGACGAGATGAAGGCTTGTAACATGACACTCATGTGATGAATCACCAACGTGATGCAAACGCCATGTGTAGCAGCGAGTTTTACTGTAGCAGCCCTTCAGCTTTCAAAGAATAGGCAGAGAGTGCTTGACGGGTGCATTTAAAAAGGTTTACTTGGATGCAATAAAGTTCATCACATAAATCATCGTCTCAGTTCTTTGTTGTATACACAGAAGCATCAAAAGACCAAAGGCACCAAAAGCACCAAAGCACCAAAAGCACCAAAGCACCGTAAAACTAGAGAAAACAAACAAACAACATAGAAAAATAAACAACAAACATTTACAAAACATCTAACATTTTCCAAATAAATCAAACAAAACATACCTCGCTCTGCTTGCCGAAGGGACACTAAAAGCTCAAGGCATTCTTCCGAGCTGTACCTGTTAGCTCGTGAACAAACGTGAATTGCTCTTACTCTGCTTTGTCTCACTTAAATCCTATTAGTCTAGAGCGCCCTCCTGTGGTGACTCCAATTAGGGCAAGCAAAGCGAGTACATTAAATCATGGGCAGTTACAGTCAGAGTTTCACGGTTTATTTTGCAGAGTCCCGCTCAGCTATCAGGGGAGGTGGTGGTTTGCTGGTGTTTGACAAGATGCGCGCAACATATCTGAAGAGCGAGGAGGGATGCTGTGGGCAGGGGTAAAAAAGGTTTGCGACGTATTTGAGGACCGGGAGGGAGACGTGTGATTACCGGGAGATTATCACTCGTTTGTGGGCATCCGGGAGTCTCTGTGCATTTGCAGGAGACTACCAAAACTTCCGGGAGACTTGGGATGTGTGGAATGACCTCCCGCCCTACTCATAATTCTCCCTTCATATAGCCGTATGCATATGACATCCATAAAACACTGTGATATAACCGGGCTCGGATCGTTTGCTTCCGGGTAATTGTTGTCCCATACAAAACAATACAAAATCGCTGCATTTAAGATCAGAACTTTTTTTTTTAAAAACAGCCCTGCCTGGCTATTATACGTGGGGTCCAGTGCTTCCAAGCAGAAGCACTGCATCATATTCTATTTTCCCATGCCATATCTTTAAAATATGAAAATTAATTTTACCCCAGTATTTTTAATGAAATTTCTGCACAAGACCGCTGCTAATGACCGCGTCTGCGTTTAAACTGTATCTTGTCTCTTTTTATGCTTTAACATGCTTAAGTCTAAGCATGTTAAGTCTATTGCTTAAGTCTATGTGCTTGAGTCTATTTAACTGATTATATTTGACTTACATTACAACATCCATGCGGTAAAAGGACACTTATGAAATTTTAAATAGTCACATAAAGCTTTCACTGGAAGTTCATCATTGGCTGAAAAACACTTTTCAGAAAAAAAAAAAACACTAGCATATATTCCATTGCATGTTGAGTGAACAATTATGTTCAAAATGACCACCTTAAAGAAATTATGCTCACAGTTTCGAAATATCTTGAAAATTCCTAAGACAGAGTTGAATATAACAAATTGATAAATATCACTAAGCCTCTGAGCTTGTATAAAAAAAAGTAATATTTCACCACTTATCTCACTGAGCCTGTTCTTTTCTGACAGAAGAGTTTCACACCTTTAGCACTGATCTTGGCTCACCTCAGTGTTACTGTATACACAATCGTACAGCATCTGAGGACACAGCCTCTGACTGCAAGTCTTCCATGGTTCACAGTTTATAGCAGTAAGCACTTAAATTTGATCGGCTGTACTTTAACGTTAATGCAGCATTGATTTCTTTCACATCCACTCTCCTGGAGTTCAAAGCCCAACCAACAAAAACTCTCAATGTCCAAACATAGCAACACTGTGAATGCAGTGTAAAAAAAGAGAGTTTAATTTTCATCAAATGATATGAGAGGTGAATTGCAGTGCTTACGTGGGAGGATTTATTACCGAGCTGAAACAGAAATCATGACTGTCGCATTACATTCAACTGTTTAGCCATAAAACTCATTTATGAAGCCACAGGGATATCTTTATTACATGCGCAAAATCTCACTAATGCGCCCTGCGTGCATTTTTGTGCTAAAGAAAGCCATTTTACAGCATCTTGTGCAAAATTCATGACAATTCCAGCCCTCTTGTTCTTGCAGCACCTGAGTTATGGTGTAAAACAGGTCTGGCAGAGCACTTTATTACTCATCTACTGAAGGCTGCAGATGAGACTGAGCTAAATATCAAGCTGAGATCTCCAGCTCAGAGGAAGCAACATTTACCCAGATCCCCCAGGGACAGGAATCATTCTGTTTGCTACAGACTCCTCACACAGCGGAGGTCAACGTCTAAAAATAAGCCAGGCTTGAGTTACAGTTGAGTTCAGACCTGAGGCGAAATTACTGGGATATGGGGGGAAATTACAGAGCTTTATGCAGCTGTGAGGCAAACAATAAACGCTGTACTGAACGCCATTAAAGGTTTGGACGTTTCATTAGAAGCAGGTGATAGATGCAGCAGCTGATGTCTGGAACATCACTCAACAGGCATCAGTATGTAAAAGAGACGAACAACAGATACAAGCAAACAAACAAACAAAACAGCGGCAAGATAGGTATGCTTCTGTATATTTGATACAGTGCAAGCTTCTGAAAACTGAAAAAAAATTATATTTAAAGCAAATTGCATTTATGGAATGAAGTCTTATTTGCTTAACTAAGTAAGAAGTATTGTTGAGTGATTTTGTACATTGTATTTTTATTTTTTTTTGTTTACATTGCAATTTGTAAAGTAATTTTTCCTTTCACTATATTTGTAATTTTTATGTTGCACTGAATTAAGACATTTGCTTTTTATAAATGTATCCTTTAGCTTGGTGGTTCTCAAACACATTCCTTGAGCCCACACATATTTGCATGTCTGCATCAAGCACAACCAATTTAAGTTATAAGCTTGTTATATTAAGCTGTGATTATTCTATAGGTAGATGAGAAGGACTGTTTAACTTGAAAAAGTGTAAAACTAACTTGGTTGTGTAAACCGCCTCTTAGCTAATCACATAATGTCCCCTGGTCTCCTTCTTGCATACCAATGCAGTGTTAGCATTGGCTGTTAGGCTTTTTAGGCTAAACAATGCAGGTTTGCCTCCAATCAAGTTTTTAGGCTCTATTTTAATGGTCTAGGGTCAAAGTCCAAAGTGCAGGAGGCAAAAGCATTAAGGGCATGTCCGAATCCCCTTTTGCTATTTTAAGGATGGAAAATATGCTCTGCGCCACGGCACATGGTCTAACAGGGTTAGAGTTATAGGTGTTTTTTGAGAATAAATCAATCAGAGTCTCATCTGCCATTCCCTTTAAGAGCCAGTTGCCTCGAGCCATTGCGCATTTGCTATTTACATAGTGGACTTTGTAAGTAAAAAACTGAACACTTCACTAGCTAGAAAACAGTTTAACAGAGCATCTGCAGCACGAGGATAAAGAACAAGCCTTCTCCAGTCTGCCTTCACTTTCACTTTCTCTTTCTGTCTTTCCTAGATAAGGAAACTGTGTTGTACACACTCCACTGAAGGCATCCCTCAGCCCTCATATTTAATTTAAAATGTAATTTCTAAACTCAGTTCTATTTTCCAGCAAATTAAAAGATAAACAATAATAACAAAGTGTGGTCAAAAAGCTGAGTTCTCCAAACATACCCTATGCCCCTATGTCCTGTGCTCCATATGGTCCAAAACCTGACTGGTGAAAAAATCTAAGCTTGTTTTTAATAAAACAAATACAAATATGCATATAATAAATAATTTACTTATAATAATAACATTTTACTAAAGCCAGTTGTTGTGAATAAACTGAAAAAAGCCCCCCAAGAGGAAGAAGGCATGGAGGAAGTGGTTTTTATATTTATGTAGAAAGTAATATTTTTTGTAATATTTTATTCCTTTAATTCTTTATCATTTGTAAAGATATTTGCGTATTGCTGTACATCCTGCATGTTTTAGGCCATGTGTAAGCGAAGCGCACAACTAACGCGCTCTGTGTTGGACTTTAGACCTGCTTTCAGCTGGTCAATTGCGCAGTCTATTGTAGTTCCTCAAATAGCAACATGCCAACAATGTACTTTAACACACCTCTTTTCTAAGTGGCACAAATGGATTTGCTATGTAAAAAACAAGGTGGAAAACATGAAAATTAAAGTTGTGCTGGTCAGAAAATATAGCAACACTTTGGGGCAAACTGGGAAACACGTCTTGCACCCTATTGTGCCAGGTGTATGATAGGGCCATTTGATTCAAATAGCTATAATTGGTGTGTCAGACAGAACATGTGCAAAATGTGGCGCATATTTCAATTTCTAAATATGCTTGGTGACTAAAATATTATTTTAATAAATATATCTGTTCAATAAAGGGCGACGCAGTGGCACAGTAGGTAGTGCTGTCGCCTCAAAGCAAAAAGGTCGAGCCTTGGCTGGGTCAGTTGGCGTTTCTGTGTGGATGCTGAACGCTGTAGGTACCAGTTTTGGGAAATGATACTTTTCAAAGTAATATATTACAAGCTTAAGGCCAAGATGGGATAAAAAATAATAATAATTAAATAAATAAATAAAAATGACATAACACATTATATTCCATTACTTTGATTGTAAAATGTATATTTTCCCTAAACTGATCAGTACTGATAGAAGCTGTTCATATGATGTGTATTTGAAGATTATTAGTTAATAATTAAAGCAAACATATAAATAAAAACATTACGTTATCAATGGCGGCGAAGTAGTGCTGTCACCTCACAGCAAGAAGGTCGCTGACTCGAGCCTCGGCTGGGTAAGTTGGCGTTTCTGTGTGGAGTTTGCATGTTCTCCCTGCATTCGCGAGGGTTTCCTCCGGGTGCTCCGTATTCCCCCACAGTCCAAAGACATGCAGTCCAGGTGAATTGGGTAGGCTAAATTGTCCGTAGTGTATTTCCCAGAGATGGGTTGCGGCTGTAAGGGCATCCGCTGCGTAAAGACGTGCCACATAAGTTGGCAGTTCATTTCGCTGTGGTGATCCCGGATTAATAAAGGGACTAAGCTGAAAAGAAAATGATTGAAGGAATGATATTCTCAGTGTGGTTTGTTCATTAAATGCTTGTTTTTACATTCATTCAGAATCACAACAATCTTTTTTATTTTTTCAACTAATTCTTCAATAAAGGTGCAATTAAAACTGTAACCTTCAAATTTTAGCTTGCTTACTTGCAAAGTATTTCTCATATGCATATCCCCCAAAATAGAGTTTCATCATGTTAGCATGTGTAGTCAGCAGCACTACTACTGAACTAAATATAAACAAAGCAAAAGCATCTTTGGAAATGGTTCCTTACTAGCAATGACTCAAAAACAGACCACCCGATGTAGTCTGATTACCGCAAGAATGGCTCTTATGAGACATGCCATACTGAGTGGAACTGCACCTGAACCAACACAATAGAGATTTAATGGCTCAAAAAGTGCAACCAATGTAGTCTAATTCCTGAGTCAATGTATCTGAGTCAGATCTTAGTTAATCACAGACATGCAACTAATGTGTTTTGTTATTTAAAGCTGAAGA